ATTTAAGCGCTTCAGATTTTAACATTTCTAATGACCTATAATGTAATGGACCATATTGCACTCCAGGAAAACTAGACACCAAAATGCCTATTAAGTGAGCTAGCTCTCTGATTGTAAGCTTTGGGTGCTTTAAGGTATGTAAACACAAATTTTTTAAATTTACTGTTTTCTCTGGTGTTAATGTAACTCGCATTTTAATGGAGTCCATGACAAAGCCCAAAAAGGTAAGCTTTTGTACAGGTTCATAGACAGATTTATCTGGATGGATAATAAACCCTGCCAGATTCAACAATTCGTCAGTTTGCAAAACATCTTTACATTCTTGCCTAGTGTCACCTTCGAGAAAAGAGTCATCAATGTAGCTTGCATTAAGATAGCCCAGCTGTCTCAGCATAGCATATATTGGTTTTACAATCTTGGTAAACACCCGTGGGGCAGAAGCTAGTCCATTAGGCAAGCATGTAAACTGGTAAAGTGTGCCTTTCCAGTAAAATTTTAGGTATTTTTTGTAGTTTACGTCAATAGGAACAGAATAATAAGCATCTCGGAGGTCGATCGATGCCATATGGCACCCTGGTCTCATTAGAGCAACAGCTGACTGTAGGGTTTCCATTTTCAAATGGTGATATTCAACATTGGTGTTTAAATCTTTGAGGTTTAATATCAGTCTATGACTGCCATCTTTCTTGGCACGAATGAATATTGGGGATATGAATTCCTCTTCACAGTGCTGTCTAACTTCAATTACTCCCATGCAGATAAGCTTATCAATTTCATTGTCTATGATGCATTGTTCTTTATCATTAAATTTTGTTTCAGGATTGCGAGACCAATTATGGTCACAGATCGCCTCAGGCATGAATTCAATTTTATAGCCTGCCATTGTTTCAAGTATGAATTTATCAGATGTCAATTTTTCCCAAAAGTGAATAAATTGTTTCAGTCTACCCCCTATTTTTATACTGTGAGAAAATGTTCGACTTACCTTTTCGGCAGTAGATGAACTCAGTTTGCAAATTTTTGAACTCAGGGGCGGCAGCCAATCGGCAAATTGCTATCTCAGTCGGCAAAACTGGATTGGCTAAAGATAACCACTGAAGAAACCAAAATTGACCTCCCGAATAATTGAATTCAAAGCGAATATCACGAATAGCATGCATCAAAGAAATCGCACATGCAGCAATGCAAATTTTTTCGAATACAGTATCTTCACTTCTGGCAGCTAATCCAAAAACATAATATTATTGAAATCATAATTAGGTAATTAAATTTGTTTGGTTGTTGTTGTTGTTGTTGTTGTTGTTGTTGTTGTTGTTGTTGTTGTTGTTGTTGTTGTTGTTGTTGTTGTTGTTGTTGTTGTTGTTGTTGTTGTTGTTGTTATTGTTGTTGTTGTTGTTGTTGTTGTTGTTGTTGTTGTTGTTGTTGTTGTTGCTTATTATACTGTTCTATAAAAGAGGCAATAAAGTCGGTTTTCCACTAGCGAATTTTCTCGCACGAAGCGACCTTTTTCCTTTGTCGGTGTCACTTATTACGTCAGCAAGACGTGGCAAAATCAGTCCTCGAAAACGAGGTCGGCATTCGGCAATGCCGGGTTAAATGCAAATTTTTTCCCACCTTAATTCAACCAAAGTCAGAATTTTTTTATGCTGATAGCTTTTAAAATGTCAGCGAATTCGATTAACTGAACACACTACGGTGTAAGGTTTAAAAACTGACGGGTATTGTGTATGTACGTTAGATGTTTTAAGATCAAATTTCGCGCGTCTGGAGTTAAAATTTGGCTCCAACTTTCGAATTTTCCGGCTGGAGGTAACGTTCCAGTTAAGCCGCGTTCACACTAGAGGCCCAGGCCTGGCCTGGACCTGGCCTGGGTCTAGGTGTGAACGGGTTTTACCTGGCCTGAGCCTGGCCTAGGCCTGGCCTGAGTCAAGAAATCCAGGCCAGCAAATGTAGGTGGCCTGGACCTGGCCTTGGCCTGGCCTGGGCCTCGATCATCACTGGTGTGAACGGGTTTTTCCTGGGCCTGGCCTGGGCGAGGCCCCGTTACCATCGCAATATCTGCCCACGATAAAAACTGGTCAGATGATTGTCATACAATTGGAGGGAAAAACATTCAAAGCGCGAAATTATATACTTTAGTGGAACACAAGGACATTTATATTGACGCCTGATTGCTTTGGCCTGGAGTTGGGCGTCAAGCCAGTGTGAATGCGTCACAATTGGCCCAGGCCAGGTCAAGACCAGGTCCAGGCCAGGCCTGGGCCGCTGGTGTGAACGCGGCTTTATATTCCGATTTCAATGATTCGTAAATGCGTGATTAATATTGCTCCAAGGCGTGGAACAGATTTTAAGAAATGCCGAGATGTGCCGACCTAGGTCAGATTTAGGTCGGCCCTCTTT